GGGAGCGGTCATAACAGAAACAACAGAGAAGAGAAAGAAAAATTACTTTGAAGGTCCTATAACATTTGCTATTCTAGAGAGAAATTAAGAGGACCCTTGGGGAGGAGGAGGGGTTAAAGTGATCCAAATTATGAAATAATAATGTGCTTCCATTTTCTGTCAGGCCTCAAACACTATAAAAAAGAAAGAGGGAGTTAAATAAGAATTATGCAAGATAATGAATAATCATCTAAATTCTTTAAAAAAATCAATGTTTTTCTATGTTAGAAGGTTGCATAATAATCTCATGGGTATTTACAGTCCCCGTTTGCCTTCTAGCTAAAAATGCTGAAGCTGGAAAATACATCACTCCATTTTCCCCATCTTTCTCGTTGAAGCCAAGAGGGCGATATATGCTGGGCTGGAGAAAGTAAGGAAGGGAGAGGATGGCTTTGGAGCCCATTTGAGGAAGGGAGTGCTGGGTCCTGACCCCTGCTCCCAACACTACATACATATTTTGCAAAAAAGAGTACTTGGATAAAGTGTCGGCTGCAGACACCAGAACCCAAGACACTTCCCTGTTCCAAGGGAACGCTTTTATCACTCGGATGAAAAATCATTATCCCTCTTGCTGACTGTCTGGCAGGCCCCATAAATTTTGCTCTTCTGGTTACAAGAGGATTTGCTTTAACAGGATTTGTGAAATATGCCTCTAATCTAGCCTTGCCTGTATCCTGATGGGAGGTGAGAGATGGCAGATTTGAATTTTCTCAAACTCAGAGGGGCCTGAGACTCAGGATTTCCTTAAATCCAGAAAAGTGTTTCAGATTGTAAATGCCAGCCTCTAAATCAGGGCTGCGCTTTAGCAGGTAGGATTTCAAATGTATCTTTGTCTCCAGTGTCCTGTTGGGTGGCTTAGCTGTGTCACTCAGCAGCTTGGATTTTGTGAATCCCAATCCTAAGCATCTAACTCTTCACATTCACTGTACAAAGAAAAATGTTCCCAAAGTGAATTAAAAATTAGGAGGGAAATGGCATGATGTATTTTACAGATGTATAATGCAGAAATAAAGTGTCTGAAATAATGTTAAATAATGGAAATGTTATTGTGATTCAGTTGGTAAAACTTACAGACTTGAGATGAATGCTAGTCAATGTGGGTTTGTGAACAATAGGTTTTCTCAAATAATCTTGGTTTCATTTTTGATAAGTCTACAGCATAATTTGAGAAAAGTAACTACACAGATCTTTGCATTAGATCTGATATTTTTCAACATTATTGTCTATGATCTACCAGAAAAGATAAGTTAACTACTGAAAAAATTGTGATTGGTGCAATTGTAGATAAGAATGGGTACAAGACTATCATGCAGAAAGATGTAGATTGCTTGGTGAGCTGGGCCCATTCAACAAAATGTTTTAATACATGAATATAAAGTACTGAAAGAGGAGCACCATACCTGAGAATTAAGTACCCTATCTGGAAAGCAATCATTTTAGAAAAGAGCTAGGGATTATAGACAAACAACTCAAAAGCAGCTCCCAGTGAAGTGCTGTAGCGGAAAGCTATGATGTGATCTTTGGATAGATAAACAGAGGAGTAGGAATATGATTTTACCACTGTGTATGGTGTTAGTGAGACTGATGTTTATATTCTTTAAAAAAAGTTATTGAAAAATTTGAGAAGATGTAGAAAGGAGCTACAGAAATTATTTCTGGGCTGAAAAAGACACTTTAAAATAAGAGCCTGAACATGTTCAATCTGTTTAATTTATCAGAAACCGTGACTTGATTACACTGTCCAAGTACCTTCATGGATGGACTGTATTGGGTACTAACGGACCCTTTAATGCAGTGGAGAAAGGCATAAGAAGAATCAGTGCCTGGAGGCTGAATTCAAACTGAATTCAAATTCAAAGTAGAAATTAGGCATAAATTTATAACAGTGAGAATGATTAATCATTGAGACAAACTATCAAATGGGTTATTTTCTGTCTCTTAATATTTTCAGATCAAAACTCACATGCCTCCTTGGGAGATGTATGCTAGCTAAAGCCCAAATTATGTTCTAGCCAAATTCTAGTTATTCAGCTGCATGCAGACCTAACTGGGTGAAATGTACTGTCCTATTCTATACAGAAAGTCAGATTAGATGGTCAAATGCTTTGCTTAGGGGAGAATGAAGAACAAAAGGAGAGACAGGGGTCTGGTGCCATAACACCCTCCAACACGTGGAAAGAGGAATTGCAGGCAGTATTTTATTCTGGGCCTTCCTAGCCTGAAATGGAGCATTCTCAGTTGCTCTGCAAAGGTTCATTTTCAGTCTTAACATGTTTTAGGTCTGGAGTGGCCAACCAGTGGTCCGTGTGGCACACGCAGCTTCTGCGTATGGCACACAGCAGTTCGGGGAGGGGGCAAGAAGCAAGTCAGGGTGGGAACAGCAGATAGGGCAGGAAGCAAAATGCAGAGCAGGAGATCAAACAGAGCACAGGTCAGGAAGCAGAAAGAGCAACAAAGAGCAAGAGGATTCATGTAGGGAAGGTACAAGGCTAATTTATGTATGCCTGCCAAAAAGGTTGGCCCCCACTGTAGGTTTTCGGGGAGGGAGAATATTCAGTGAAGATGAAATCTCTAGAGAAGTTAGCTGCCAAGCTCTCTGTAAGGCTACAGTGTACAACTTTAAATTAATTGGAGACTTACCACTTGGCTGGATTTGAATAGTTTTCATGGGAACAGCAAAAAGCACATCCAGGAGGCTGGAGCAAATTCCCTGCCAAGTGCCAAGCCCCAGAGCAGGGCAAGTGGCCCTGCTTCTTGATGGAATAACTGTAAGATTTTGTTATCATGAGCATAACAAAATATTTCCCCCTAATTTTATTCTCAAAAGTGACCACTTTTTGCTGTAACTCTGGTTTAAAAATGTAGAAGGTGGTAAACAGGTGTCATGGAAAATTTCAATCCAAATAATTACAGTAAAGTAATGCAAACAAGGTTGTATAATAGCAAGTATTAGACTATTTAACTATAAGGGTTCTATCAGTGCTTATAGTAACTATGAGCACATCATAGTTGGTGTGTTCTTACTGACTGTACTGACCAGTATTGTCTTACTGACTTCTTTATACCACCTCTCTGTCTGTATCTATGTGTTCTCTCTCTCTTATACTGTAAGCCCTCTGTGGAATGGGCCGTCTCGTTGTTCTGTTTGCTTAGTACCAAGCAGTGCTCTAGACCTGATCCATGACAAGATGCTAGGCTTAGGGGCTATGATAATACAACAAAAATGTCCTTTAAAAGAGAGAGGTTTTCAAATGCCATGCATGTTTTACTGACTCATTATAAATATTCATTGTTAATATTTCACAAAGAAGCGAAGCTACAATAGATTTGCCATACTGAATTTCATTTGAAGATTGTCATTTGAAGCACTGTCAGTAGTTGTAGTTACTTTTGATTTGACTGCATGTAGTAAGTACAGATGAGCCATATTTTCCGTGTGTTCAAATCACTTTGCTTTCCCCGGCATTTACAAATTTCTTTGGATATTTTTTCTCCGACCAGATCTTTGCTACATAGATCTGTGTCTATGGCATATTCACTGGAGACCAAAGGATTACTCTAGATTGTCGTCAGGGAAACAGCTATGAATTCTGCTTGCTCTCTCCTCTCCCAAGTTTACTTTTGCTGAACTTTTCCCAAAATCTTTTTTCCCCATCCCAGGCATTCTGTTCTTTTGGTGTAGCTTTCCATCTCCAGATGGACACTAAAAAATTCTAGTTTTAACAAATATCCATCCAGGTAATGGATGCATGTGGGTTTGTTTACATAATTTCTTTGAATGTGAATGCTCAGAGGAACAGAATAACTTGCTGCTATGTTTTTTTATTGAGGCTTGTACATTAATTATGAATTGAGCTTCATGATATCTTGCTGCAACACATTCAAGAAACACTTTCAGATGACTCCCTTCTGTGGTCTGATACCTCGTTTCATCTTTGTTTTTAAGCCTGTTTCACCGCACTTGTCTAAAAATAAAAAAAAAGGGGTGAGAGATCTCCATGGCTGTTCAGGTGTGCACCTTTATACTGACAGTTTGTTCATATAGCTGCCAATTCTAGAAGGCTAACTCCTACCATTTTAACTTCTTGCATAGTTATTGTAGTTATTTGAGTTTATAGGTCTAAAAAGATCTATGACCCCTGGGTAATTTTGAAACTCCTCTGGAATGTCTCTTTTTTCTCCCCTGCCAGCCTTTAAACACTGCCTCAAGTTAATGGAAAGCTACAGAAATTAATGTCTCTGCATTTCTCCATACTGCACCTAAAATCCTTATATATCCCTGTCCTAACTGATATAGCTGTAGAGCTCAGCTCTTGAACGACAATCTCTTCCACACTTACCAAATGTAAAGTTCATATCTAAGAGGCCTGTATGTGGTACAGAGTTCTTCCTGAGGTTTCTTAATACCTTGTAGAGCTGTAGTGCAGTGTCCGTGTCTTATCTATCACGCTTCCATTTCTCATCACCTAGCCACAACTAGTGACTGAAATACCCATAGCTAAAATGGAAACATCCCTTAACACTTTCACTTCTAAATGGATCACATATTCTTACTTTCATTTGGCTGCAGTAGGATAAAGCTATGAGCAACTGTGATCACAAGATCCATCCATCTATGCTTCTTTTACACGTGGGAGTTTATCTTGCAAATATAATGACGTAGAATTCAAGGCTTAACCAATGACAGCTAAATTCTAATGGTTCCTGTGGCCTCCTGATGAGTGGGCAAATGGATTTCCAAAGCCTGATTAGGCAGGAACCTCTTCTGGCCAGGGAATCTGTCTCACTGCATTATTAGGCAATATGCAGATTATAGTTGGAATAACTAGTATTCCTCCTGGGGAGTGAAGCCTATTAGTGTTTTATACCAATATTTTTTTTCCAAAGGAAAAATGTTTTACCTCCACCTCACATTGAGGAGCTTGCTGGATAAATTGCTTCTCTTCAATTTCTTGTTTCAGGCCCTAATAAAGAACTTTGTAAGCAGGTGTTTGCACCATCAGCAGCGCTGTCCCCGCCTGCACTTCCACCACCACATTCGGTAACACCGACACCAGTGCTGCCCCCTCCTCCTCCAGCTTCCCACCCATCAGCCCAGGCACTGCCAGTCCCCAGTCTACCTCCTAGAAACATCAAAGCCAGCACTGAGACAACGTAAGTATTGAAATCTTTTTTTCATGTACATTCTGTTGAGGCTGAGCAGTTTGTGTGCAGTGTCAAAGATCAGTGCACTCACAGAGCAGCAAGCTCTCAGACACCTCAGGATCTGATCTCTCGGACTGAGCTGCTCTTTTTGCCAGGGTTGCTATTAAAGTGACAAAAACTCTTTATGTGGGCCCAGAAGCAGGACTAGGTCCTAGCTACTAAGGGATGTTACTCAACTGATTTTGGCCAGCCCCCCAAAATATGCAATCAGCTCCCTCCTTTCCACTCTGTAAATGGTGGGAGAAAGCACCTTCCCTCTATTCCCCCCACCCAATATTACAGAGCAGGAAAGGGCAGGTGCCTCCTGTCTCCTTTGTAAAAAGTAACAGTGTTCAAACAGCAGCAGCTGAGATCCTCTTCCCAGCTCACTTGACTGCTGGCAGAGAGTCACAGGTTCACAGCACATACCAGACCTTGCAGGAAACAGCTCTGCCAAGCTGAAGAGCTGATAGATTGTCAGAGACTTCAAACGTGAAAGCAGAACCTGGCTCCTAGCTGTAATTTTGAAGCTTCCCTTATCAACCAGCCTCCTCTTTTCACCCTCCCTTCAAATTTGGCTTGCAATTTGGATACCTGCTGTCTGCCAAAGATTTGAAGATTTGTATGTCTAAAGTGAAGAGTGACTGAAAGCAGGTTCAGTATTAAAAAATGAGAAATGTTGCCATGAGCAACATTGTGCATATCAGACATAGAGAACATATCAGACATCCAAGTTGCTTCTGCTTTGCCACTCAGCCCATGATATTTTGTTATTCAAAATATCCTGCTCTACTTGAACTTGAGGCATGGTCTGACAGAAAGCCTCATGAACCCAAGTAGAAGTGGCTAACAAAGTGTCAACATTAAATTGCATCAAGTCCGCCATCTCATGGCCAGCTGGCTAAGCTACAGTTGGTCCTACTGCCTCCATATTCCTAGAAATAAACCTTTGTCTACATTTCCCCGTTTGCTGCTTATGACTAAAGTTTCTCCATATTGCCTGAGGGACCTGAAAAACTTAGCACCAGCATGCTTCTGTGCTGTCTTCTTTCTTCACACCTTCTGTTTCATGTACACACATAACCACATGCTTATTTCCTCATTCCCTCTTGCTGCTTTTCAGATCTATATGCTTGAAAACTCCTTCCTAAAATAACTCTGTTCTCTCAAATATCTTCTGAAATTATAATTTGTCCATGAGGCCCAATCCTCCCTTAAACAGTACTAAAAATCCCTAACTAACATTTTCTCAGCTCACCAGAACTTCTGATATGCATCTATTATTGACCTAGCCACCATCAAGGCCAACTGCTGTATCTCATTCCTAACCTTCTTCCAAGGTTTCTGCCATTGGTTGTCATGTTATGTCTTAATTTAGACTTTGAACTCCTCAAGGCAAAGAACAAGTCTGATATTTGTCTTTAATGTGTCATGCAAATATGCAGTGCTCTATTTCATGCATCCTGTGAGAAGGCTGCACCTGCAGGGATGATTCATGTTCCAAAGAGTCCAACAAAGTCTATGTATTTTGGCTATCCACCTGTCTGTCTGCCACACTACAGTTCTTATACCACATGCATTACCATGGTACCTAAGTGCTTCTGGCTTATTTATTACTGTTGTTATATTTGATACAGAGATGCTACTGTACAAAAAATAGGATCATAATTGAGCATGATTATTCACTGTACTTAAAACTGTGCAGGGATCAACATACTATCCAGTCATTGTCCCAAATAACTGACACATGCAGTCAAGCACGTAGCTACGTTATGGTAAGGTACAAGTTAAGGTACAAGCATAGGGATCACTTTCTCAGTTATCGTATGTTTTTCTTTCATATTTACAGAGCTCCAGACAATGAGCAAAGCTATGATGATGTTGAATTTGGGTCAGAGGGTAAGAGGAGTGCATTTTAATTAATAACAACAATGTGAGAATTAAGTACCTTGTATTTATAAGAAAAATAACTAGCATTGTTATTTATGGTGTTATTGCATTGCAATCAATATTATTGAGTAGAGGAAGTTCTACAATAATACTAATGTCTCCATTACTAATTTGACAGCCAGTTTGCATTAGAGAGCTCTTTGAATGCCTCAGTAGTTTTGTCTTAGAAAATGTTTGGCCTGATAAATTACCAGATTGTAAAATCTGTTCCATAACAAATGCTAGTCTTTCAGATTCCAAGTTAGTGTGTTCTGAAGAAACATGCAACCTTGATTAACTAAATCAAGATATTTAATCAAGATATGCCCAAAGCAAAGGACACCCTACATTTGTGCTCTACAGGAGCAGCCAGAAAGGGGACCGTGACTCACTGAGCATGCCTATACATGTTATTAATGCACAACAATAAACTCTGCTGCATATTGTGCCAGAGTTTATTGCTCCCAGGCACTGCATTTGAACATGCACTCATGATTGTGTAGCAGGTTGAACTGGGTCAGAGTAGCCCCAGCTGGCAGGGGATCCATGGGGTCAGCATGCCAGCCCAGTGCTTCTCGAACCCAGCTCAGCATGATGCAAAGGGGTTGGCTGGGGCACAACGGTGCTCCAGTGTAAGGCTAGCTAGCAGGCAGTCCCTGTACTGAAGCACCCTTGTGCCCCAGCCAGCCACATCAGCATTTACATGTGCATTGCTGCAGAGTAAAAAACTCTGCCTCAGGATAGTACTTGTATTTACAAGTACTAACCCACAGTGTAGTGAATTAGTTTACTCCATCCTAATAGTTCTGCATGTGTAGACACAGAGACATTTACTGCAGAGCTAATTAGGTAACCAGTAAGCATCTCATGTAGACATTAGGGTTATACAAAGCTTCAGGTCGTGCTTTGATTCAAAGTAGTTTCGGCCTGATTCGGTGGCCGAATCTCTGAATCCAAACTGAATCAGGGGACCAATTAAAAGGTCTGAATTGATTTGAAAATCTCTGAATCTTCAGAAAAGATTTAGAGAACTTTGAATTAGTTTGGACAGTCCCCGGTGGCTGCAGCAGGGAGCTGTAGCTGGACTTGGAGCTGGTAAGTAGGGGAGGGGGGCTGGAAGAGGGGAGGGGAACATGGGGGGGGACCCCTGCCAACCCCCAGCCCCTGCCCACTCCTCCAGCTCCCCCATGGCTGCCCACCTCAGCTCCCAGCACTTGGGGAAAAAAAAGCCCCAATTCACTGGGTGCTGCCGGGCAGGGGGGCGATCCCTGCTGCATGGGGGGCTCTGCACATGCCCCCCAAGCCCCCCGCTCTCCCAGGCCCCCCATGGCTGCCCTGCCAAGCCCAACTCTGGCACTTTAAAAAAAACAACTGAGACAAACCCTGGGACTCACCACTCCTGCAGAGCTCTCAGGGCTTTGGGGGGCTCATGGAAGAGTCCCCCATGCAGCATGGGGCAGCGGGGATCACCCCCCATCAGCAGGAATGGTGAGTCTGGGGGTTTTCTCAGGTTTTTTTTCTTAAAGGGCCAGAGCTGCAGTGGGCGGGGCAGCCATGGGGGGGCTGGGACAGCAGAGTGGGGGAGCTCATGCAAAGCTTCCCCATGCAGTGTGGGGCAGTGGAGGGCAGCAGGGATTGCCCCCCTGCCTGGCAGCACCTGATGAGTCGGCGATTTTTTTTTCAAAGTGCCAGGAGCTAAGGCGGGTGGGGCAGCCATTGCCAGGTGGCGAGAGCAGGCAGGGGATGGGCCTGGCCTAGGTGATTCAGAGATTCAGCAGCAGCCAAATCTGCTAAGCAGATTCAGCCAAATTGATTCAGGACAGTGATTTGAACCACCAAATCGAATCACTGTCCCGAATCAGCTGAATCTGAATCCGAAGTGAATACTAGTTGCTTTGCACAGGCCTATTAGACATGCCCACTGAGTCACTGTCTGCCTTCTGGGCTCTTAGGAAGGACGTATAATGTACCAGACACAGTGTGCATCATGTAGTGTGCTGGCCAGCTTAGCTGCACAGTGTGTACAAAACTGGAATTGAATTTTCTGCCCAGTCTCTTCCCCCTCCCACACACCTGCACAGTGAGGGGAAGAGTTGAAACTTGGCCTTATCTCTACTTCCTCACACCTGCCTGAAAAGTAGAGGAGAAGTAACCACTGTGTATAACTTCTTGCCCTGCAGCCCATAGCACAAGCGGCTTGGATAGGAAAGTGCAGGAGTACTGTAATCCTTGTTAGTCCCAGAAAAGTTAGTGGCAAGTTATATCTATGTAGATAATGTAATGTTACAGGCTAGGGACAGACATTCAAAAAGCCTGAGCCTGATTTGATTCAATCTTTGCAGGCTAGTCTAACCCAGCTAGGCTGAACTGGTTTGTAACTGAACAGACATCCCTTCTGGACTGAGGAATTGCAGGCTAGAAGCTGGGGGGCACTAGAGAAGCCCTCCCTTCCCTCCCATAATGCTAAGCTGGGGTGGGGCATGGTCAGGGTCTGGCAGGATGCTCTGATTAGGAAGGGTTCCCTCCCTGCCCCCACCTTGCTGCTTCTGACCAGCAGCAGAGCCAGCAGGGAGTTACACAGCTTTTACTTACACAGCAGGGAGTTACACAGGGAGTAACATAATGTTTATCAGCCTGTCAAGAAAACAAAAGCCTCTCTTGTTAGTTCAAGTTCTTTTAGCTCCAAAAAACCCTAAGCAAACACTGTCCTGTCTGCCTTACACAGACACCTCTCAGCATTAGCTAGCATACCACATGCTGGCTACAGTCTCTGCTGTGGGAGAGGGGAATCTCTGCTTAAGCGGTGGGGCGGGGAGGAGGGAGGAGAGGGGTGGGCAGGCAGACACTGCTGTATCTGCAGTCTCTGCCAGAGGTCCATCCAGGGAGCACAGGGGTGGAGCCAGCTCTGCTGTGGAGAGACAGCACAGCCCCGCCCAAGGTGGCAAAGGAGCTGGGATGCTGCGGGACTCTGGTTTAAATTAAACCAGGAAAGGGTCTGGGACATACATTGCATAAACCAGTTTGACCCAAATCAGTTAAGTCTGATACTACATTCAACCAGGCTTATCTCAAACCAGTTTCAGCCATTTTCAAACTGGTTTATGTGCACTGAGCTTCTGTTCTGTTACAGGTTTAAACCAGTTTCTGATCATTTAAACCAGTTTATATGTAATGTCTGTCCCTAACCATAATGTCTTTAACTATCTGCCTTATCTATAAGTATATAAGCTTTGAAAATCATTATGAGGGAAAAGTACATAGTCTTCAAAAATTGTTAATAGGAATGTTCTGGGTTTTGAAAAATATTATGTAATTGACATTGTGGCAGATGATGGGAAAGTACTTAGACCAGACACTTGTAGAAGTTTATTGTGTACACTACTGAGAAGCTCTGTTTATCCCAAAGGCTTTGCATTCTTCTCCCCACTGAACTAGGATTTGTTATATTGCTATATTTAATGCTGCCGTCATTATAGCTGTACATGTGCCTAAATAGCTAACATCAGGATGAGAAATTTTCCCTATCAAAGAAATTAACAGTTTGTTTACACTTTTGGTCATTCAGGTCATGGAAATCCAGATGGGGTAAGTGTTATCCTTCATACTATACTAAGAACATATTGTTTTTAATACATCACTGTAACAGAAAAGCTTATTGCAGAATAACTTCAGTGTATTGCTAACAAATTGTGGAACCTCTTACTGTAGAGGACAGCAATAAAAGTGGGTGAACTGAGAACAGAACTGGAAGTAATTATTAAAACTGGCCAGAAACCAAAAAATTCATAAAAGCTTCCATTTCCATTTTCCACTGACATTTCATTTCAGTGAAATTTTCCAGAGATATTGGCTCTATTTTAGAAAGGTACTGAATCATGTGTTGTCCCATTGACTTTAAGTACCTGGCTGAATAAGGGCCTAGGTAGCTTGCTGAAGGTTTCCAGTAAATAGAACTGATCTGAGTCCCATTTTAGTCCTTAAAATAGCTTTGCACTCCTCAATTCCCCACTGATATATTGATTTCTTAACTTGGTGGTCTCTTCCATGCAGCCCCATCTGAGATGCAGTGTTTCCAGAACTAAAGTTAGAACAGAGAGATTCAATTCAGAACAATGAATATGTTTACTATGGGGCCCTTCCTAGATGGGAAGGATCCTGAGTTTGATTTTTTTATGGTCATAGTCATTACAGAAGAAGATGGGTCTGAACAATTTAGTAATATGAATTCAAAAGGGTTACATGAATCTGCAAATGGTTGCTTAAATTAGCTGTAAACCAGCTGTCAAATACAACTGGTATGTCTATTTCTCTGTGCAATTTCAGAATCTTTGGGCTGTTGAAGACTGAAGCACTATCATTTTTTCTTACAGGATCAAGAAAGCGATGGAGAGACGTATGAAGACATAAATGACATGAGGTAGCCAATCTAACGTATGCAACTATAAGCAATTGTGTCTTTGTTACAAAGGGAAGAAACAGATTCCTAAGAAATATGCTTCATCTGTCTGCACTGCCATCCCTGCTGTGATCTATCTTGCTCATTTTCCCTAATGAAAACATGTCATATAGTTAACAGGCTTGCTCCTCATCTATGTCTGATAAAGTTGGAGGTCTGTCTGAAAATTAAGTCATGTTATTGCTACAATTTTGAAGAAGCCTCACTTGCTGCACAGAATTATTGCCTGAAAAGAAAAAAAAAACCCAACCTGTATACCAGTTGAATACTTTTGTTAGTGTTGTTTTCTAAGTGAATCTATTTAATGCTCATGAGAGCTACTGGATTGACAGTTCTCAGGGTATGAAATCATCTTCATACCTGCAGGGCAGATCTGTAGTTTCTGACCCAGTACGCTGTCATCTATGAAAGCTCATGCCTCTCTGAAATTGAAATCAGGAGACCAGTAAAAAGGTCCGAATTGATTCAAAACCTCCAAATTGATTTGGAAGAGATTAGGAAGCGATTCAGAGATTTGGGCAGTCTCTAGTAAGTAGGGGGTGGGAGGGAGTGGGGCTGGAGGAGAGGGAAGAGGATCATAGGGAGACCCTCACCAGGCCCCATCCCCTGCCTGCTGCCTCAGCCCCTGTGAGTGCCCTCTGACCCCCACCCACTTTCCCAGCCCCATCAATGGCTGTCCTGCCCTGTCCCAGCATCCTGGTGCTTTAAAAAAAAGTCCCACATTCACCAGATACTGAAGCAGCCACTGAGGCCTCTGGGGGCTCATGGCAGAGTCCCCTCCACAAAGTGCAGTGCAGTGGGGGGCAGTGGGGATCACACACTGCCCCCTCCCCCCCGCCTGGTGGGAGCTGGTGAGCACAGGGGTTGGGGGGGGGGGTTAAGTGCCAGGATG